GGTCTCCTCCCTCCTCACACCCCCGCCCACGGGACCGTGAGGCTCCCTCCCCGCACCGGCCAGGGAGTGCACAAAGCGGCGGGTGAGGGGAAGCTCCTCAGGCGTGCACAGGAGCAGTGAGATCACTGGCGTTATAAATATCCCAGTGCCAGCGCCGAGATCCGCTCGGGTGGCCTCTCTCCCTCTCCCTCTGCCTTCCCCGAGGCTATGTCCACCCGGCGCGGCGAGGGGGGCAGCGTCAGAGGCACGCAGCCGCGCGGGGGCTCCGGAGCCCAGAGCCAGCCCTGCAAGATGCGCTTAGGACCCCCGCGGCTGGAAGAATGAGCTTCTCCTTCTTCCTCCTCCTCTTGCTCAGCCACCTGATCCTCAGCGCTTGGGCTCACGGAGAGAAGCGTGTGGCCCCCGAAGGGCAGCCTGGACTCGAGGCCCAGGCTCGGAATCCCGGGGAGTCCAGCAGCAGCCGGAGCAGTAGTAGCGCGACGTCTTTTGCGTCTTCTTCTGCGCCCTCTGCCCCCGCGGCTGCTCGAGGCAGCCCGGACAGCGGTTCAGAGCAGGGCAGTTTCCAGTGGAGTCCCTCGGGGCGCCGGACCGGTAGCCTCTACTGCAGAGTGGGCATCGGTTTTCATCTGCAAATCTACCCAGATGGCAAAGTCAACGGTTCCCACGAAGCCAATATGTTGAGTAAGTTGCTCGCTCTCCTGAAAAACCTGTCCTAGGCAGCCGCAGGAGGTTCGGGAAGGACAGCCGGCGTTCCCTGGGCCTCAGACGCACCTCCTGGAGTCGCGGCTCCCGGAGGGGCAGCTGATCCTGGAAACAGCCGGGCAGGCTGGGCGGAGATGCATCTCCAAGGCGCGCACGCACCCCTTCGCGGGCACGAAGAATGGTGATCCCCAAGGTGCAGGGGATCCAGAGGCCGATGCCAAAGCAGGCACCTGCTTCCAGGATACCTTGGTCTCCAAGGAGCATCCAGTGGTGCCTGGAAAAAAAGAATCCAAGCCTCCCTTCTTCTCCTACAATTTGTGTTTACCTTCTGCTTGTGAACTATGATGGCATTTTTAAATTCAGCATCAAAGTGCATCCCTTTCCCTGTACATAGTCAAAGTTATTATTTTTTTTTTAGACGCAGATCAGATTTTAAATACTTCCTTCCTTCAATCAGGAACATAAACCGCAAATTAATATTGTATGTGTACATTCATATGAGTACACAAATATATGTGTCATATATA